AATAAGCCTCGCAACTTCAAGTGCTTACAAAACCAACCTTTAGTCCAAGAATCCAAAAAAAGCGCGTACGCTTGGTTTGCATAGTAGTCAACAAGATACAAAACACGTCCAAATGACGTTAAAAACGTCAACCTGGCAACGCTGCATATAAGTCCCAATTTCAAGTCACTGAGAATTCTCATTCTCAGCTCTCTCGGGTTGTTACGCTCCCGAATTCGTTCTCTCTTGCAAATTTTTTGGGTTATTGAATGCAATGAGAGAGTAAATGAAAAATAGAGAGTAAAAGTAAGAGTAAAGAGCCTGTCAGACGTGGCAATATTTCCGTCTTTCGCACGCAATTCGCTGTCAAATTGAGAAAGAGAAATTTTATTTCGATGTGTGAACAGCCAGAAAGATCTTTCTGTCACCTTTCGGAAATCAGTTTCAGAAATAAAAGTTGCAAGGTGGGACTGCAACTGCAAGAGCGAAAATCGATTTCGGAAATATATTTCAACTTGCTCGTGCTGCACTAGCAATTTTTATTTCTTCTGCAAGTGCTGTCAAACTAATCGAGTGTTGCCGTGTGGCCCTGATCGCGAATTTGTGTAAAATGATAAAAAATATTGTTGAATTTAATATCAAAAATGCTTGAAATATATTATTTTGTTTAATATACTTAATCGTTAAATTATTGTTTACACGACAAATATGTTAATTATAACATATATTTTCCCGCTTTTACAAGAGAAATAGCAAACAAACGACAACCCCACCGCCCATGGTTGCATTTTAGTATCGAGAAAGATTGCCAGAAACTCATTCGCTGTGTGAACAGCCAAAAAGCGATTTCAGAAATTTTTCCTGCAATTCACCGTTCGGAAATAAAAACCTCTTTCGAAAGACACTTTCCATGCAAGGTGTGACTGCTCATGCAACTGATTTCTCAATTTGACAGCCTTTCCGAAATTTATTGCATCGAAATATATTGCCACGTCTGACACGCTCTTTAGAGAAAATTATCAAAAGCAGTTATTGAACACAAACCCAGTAAAAACTTGCAACTGACGCCATTTTAACCTTTCTGATGGTTAAGTGTGCAATTTTACTTTTCTTTGGAAATATTTTCCATCGTCATAACTTTATTTACATTTGAATTTGAAGTATGACTGATATTTTTACACCTGCGAATTCCTGTTAGTAAAATTTTTACGTGCAAGAATTTGCAGCTCTCGGGTTGTTAAGCTCTCGAATTCCTCTTTCTTGCAAATTTTTGGGTTATTGAACGCCTTTCCAGTAAAAACTTGTAAGTATGTTAACAATTAGTAACAATTTTAATTTTACTTACAGAAACTTGCAGGTGCCAAAATACAAAAATTTTTACTAACTGTAATTTTGAAGCAAATGGGTAAAACGAAAGTATTGAGGAATAATTTATTTACCCATCGAAAAATTTCAGAATGGCGAAAGTTTACTGGTTTTGCGTTCAATGACTATTTCTGATAAGTTTTTCTTCCTCTCAATTTGACTTTCAGTCAGTTTTGTGTTTACGCTCGAGCTGCCGGTACTTACTGGAAATGTTATTGAACAAACCTCATATTTTTCAGCAATGAGATTTTAGAATTGGGGAAGACCTTTATTACCATTTGTTGAGTCTAAAAAAAACCTAAGAAAAATTCACGATTTAATTGCAAAGCAACGGATTGTTCCAGATTGTGATCTTTATTCTGATATTTTAATTTTCTAGATAGGATTCATAGAACATAAGTCCTGAGCATTTTTTGTGTTAATCTGGAAAATTTCATATGACCTCTCGTTTTTGATATGTTGTTCAGGGCAATTTTCCGAACATCTTGGTATAAGTTTCAAATGCCAGATTGCTACTATTCAAGTAGCATCAATTGCGAAAGCACCAGTGCAAGGTCGAGTGCTACTAAGACTGTCCTCTAAATGCGGGAATTTCGTTAAGGCCACGATTTTAATATCTATGTGCTTATAGCATTAATGCCGGGATTGTTGTAACAGCACTATCATGGGAACACTCAACTGTTGTTGTAACAGAATAAAAGTTCCCAAAGGGTTTCTGGGAATGTTGCTGGAGTGACAGTCCTTGGCCAGATATGGATCTGTATCTTTCCGGTTACGTAGACCCTGAGATGGTTTACCGTGGTTGTTCCTAGACATTTTAGAATTAGCATGCTTAGGCCTGCGGCATCCAGCGTTGCCAGGTTGACGTTTTTAACGTCATTTGGACGTTTTTTGTACCCTGTTGACGTTTGGACGTTTTTTGTTTAAAAAATGACGTTTTTTAACTTCCCTGTAATTTTTCTTTGTTAATAAATCTTATAAGTAGAACTGATTTTGAATTATTTTCTTAATAAATCTATACAATCTTTGTGTTTTGCTGCAGCTGCACAGTGGTTCGGATCGCAAATCTAGCTGGACAAAACTATTTAAACAAATACTCGTTGATGGATCTTTACACCACTTCTTACCTATGAGATTTTTGAGTCGCTGATTACGAATCTGAAGTCACTTATCAAAAATTCAAAATGGCGGATCCAATATGGCGGACGAAAATTCAAAAAAAATCGGTAGATTTCTATGAAACTGGGTATCTGGGGGTTTTCTGGGTCGCTGATTACATATCTAAAGTCATTTACCAAAAATTCAAAATGGCGGATCCAATATGGCAGACGAAAATTTAAAAAAATCGGTAGATTTCTATGTAACTGGGTATCTGGGGATTTTCTGGGTTGCTGATTACGAATCTAAAGTCATTTACTTTATTTACTTCGGAACGAGCATTTTCATCAGATATTTCTTTCAATTTACTAATCACATAATCACGGACACCTTGTTGTCTTTTAGAAGTTTCTGCAACACCAAATGTCAAACAACTCACTTCTTAAGATTTTATTTACCATGACTAAAATTTAAGATCACAGCAAGAAACACAAATAAATTTCAGAAAAAATTTTATAACAGCGCTTAAAGATTTGCATGCCTGTTGTATAATTTTTTAATTTCAGAAAGTAGAAAATTCGCGAGGTACTATTTTTTTTAACTCTTACATAACCAAAGGTTTTATAACTCCAAGTATTTTTCTGTTTTAACACACAACCCCTCCCCCCTCTGCCCCGTGGATCCGCCACTGATCTTATATTTATATGAGATTTGACATACCGTCACTAAATTGTAAATATCTAAGCCAATTGGTTAGACTTGGTTATGGAACTTACCCTCTGCATTTGCGAAGGTGTAAAGAATAATATGCAAGTGGTTTTATAACGGCCTTCGGCGGCCTTTACTTTTCCTACTCTTTAATTTATTTTTTTAATTAATCAAAACGACGATTTTTCAGAATAAATTTGCTTATACCAATGTGGACATAAATTGCGTTATGACCTCTGAATCTATAGCGGAATATGTGTAATTTTTTGTTTATAAAGTCAATTTGCAATTATGCAAATATTTGTGAGTGCAATTAGCAATTTTTAAGTTAAATTTCAGCTTTTAAAATAGAGTTCTCAAATAGGCGGCGTTGACTTACCTTTGTTTGTTTGTTTTCATATGTTAATGCTTTAATAAATGCAATTTCTATTTGAATGTATTGTCAGAAATGTATTCCAAGTACTATTAAGTATTTTAAAAACAAAAAAATTTTGACTTTCGTCCAGCTAGATCTGCTATCCGAACCACTGTGAGCCGGACTAAGGATCCCTTGTTCAAAGGCTGGTTGTGTAAGCACTTGAGGTTACGAGGTTTGCTGTAATGATGCAATTGCACATTAAAAGACAAATCAGGTAGAGCTGATCTATTGCTCGCAAAAGCACCAAAAAAGCTGTGCAGCATAAAACGTCAGAAAAAAGTAGGCGACTTTTTTAAGACAGAAAAAGTTATTAAACGCAAAACTAGTAAAAACTTGCAACTTAAGCCATTTTGACACTTTCTGACGGTTAAGCTTTGGCGCGCAATTTTCTTTTTAATTGGGAATAGTTCTGATCATCATAAAAGTAAAAAATATACAATAGATTTGAATTTTTTATCCATATTTTCATTTCACTAATTATGTTTCATCAAATCATCCTCTTAAACAGTTTGTTTACATTTGAATTTGAAACATAACCTTACTTTTGGACTCCTGCAAATTCCTGCAAGTAAACTTTTTATTTGCAAGAATTTGCAGCTCTCTCGGGCTGTTACGCTCTCGAATTCGCTCCCTCTTGCAAATATTTTGGGTTATTGAATGCATTTCCAGTAAAAACTTGCAAGTACTAGTAACAATTCGTAACATTTTTTTTTATATTGAATGGACCTATTGCTATGCTCCTTTTTAGCAGAACGTAATTTAGCATTTTCGACAACCGAGCCCCTAATGTTGATTGTTAATGAGATTTTATGGAAAAATAATAAACATTAAATAAACGAAAGAGAAACAGCGAAAATCGATCAAAATGTTGATGACTTAATCAGTTGTTCACAATTGTATGTATAAAATGATTTTTATATTAACGATCTCAGACCAGTTTACAATGAATTTTAAATGTGCTCTGTCGAAATGATATTTTAATATACCTTACGTATATATCGGGCCCTAACCACCAAAATAACGTAAGCGACATTTTTTCAAAATTTTGTTTTTGATGCAGAACGCCTCTAGATGCTCTAGGAATATTTCTGCATCAAAAAGAATATTTTGAAAAAAATGTACCTTTGTATACAATAAAAATTTAAATAAGAACAATTTATTGTACATTCATTTGAAAAAGACGTTTTTGGATAGGAAATGACGTTTTTTCAACCAAGAGGGACGTTTTCCCATGCTGAAGACCTGGCAACACTGGCGGCATCTAATATGTATAACTCGCCATCTTCTTGTTGTAACTGCAGTACTAAAATCTTCACGTAAAAGCCGTTTGTAGTTAACGGCTGTCTAGAACTTTAAGAACATGCATATTTCAAAAAGTATCAATTGAAAATATTTAATACATGTGTATGTATGATTTTATTCTATTTCACAGCATAATTTTTTAGAACGATTTCCAAAATTGTTTCGTATCAAAATTGAAGTAGAGTAAATTGGACTGAAATGCGCCCGGCCATACAACCAGGTATACGCGTAGTACGTGGACCAAACTGGATTTGGCAAAATCAAGGTAAGCGCAAGTTTTGGTCTTAATATGAACCTGTTCAAAATAATAAGAAAGTGAAAATAAGCGGGCGCGTCATAAATTGATAGCGTGTTTCTGATAACGGATGTATGTTAATCAGCCGGCAAGCTTGGAAAATGTTTACTGAGCGGGTCATATATTCACAAAGTATGTTAAACGAGCACGAATGAATCTCCGATTCAGAAGACTGAAATTTTAGATGTGAGGTCAGCTCTTTTTGAAGATGATTCCAAAATCGCCTTTTTTAGTTACTCGAGCGCAACAGATTTTCATTCAGAGAGTTCATCTCGATGCCCTGGTCGTACTGTTCCATAATCTGAGGATTTTTTTTAATCTTAAATAGAAATGGATTTTTTTGTATGAAAATTAAAATAACCGTAATGCCCGTATGATACTACGTTTTTTTCCTGTACTTTTCATTTGAAATACAAACAAAAAAACTGACGAAAGTCAAATTACAAAAACAATTCGGCAATGTGTTAGAGAGAAACAAAGTCTGTGTGAAAAACAGCTGAGTTTTTACATATCCTTACCGAAATTCAAATAAACGAAATTAAAATTTGCGTAAAACAGTTTTGTTACATTAAAAAATTAAATTAAAGTGGCAAAACAGTAACGTATTTAATTTAATTGTATTTCCATTTTGTTTATGCTAAGAAAATAACTCGTCTGGCAAAATGCAAACAGCTGTGTAAGAAAAACGAACGAAATACAGCCATCTGTTAAAAAAACTGAACGAAATACAAGTTGGTCGGACTGTTTTTAACAACCTAGTTTGTTTTTCGTCAGTTTTTCGTTTATTTTTTGGTATATAGCTTACTCCCTTACACAAGTACTGAAATCATATATAACAAATACAGTGTAAAATACACTCGAAATACAAGAAAGAAACGTAGTATCATACGGGCATAAAGAGCGTGGCAGACGTGGCAATATTTCCAACTTTTCCACGCAATTCGCTGTCGAATTGCGAACGAGAAATTTTATTTCTTTGTTTGAACATCCAGAAAGGCCATCCTGTCAAATTTCGGAAATCAGTTTCAGAAATAAAAGTTGCAAGATGTGACGACAATTGAGAGAGCGCAAACCTATTTCGGGAATATATTTCAACTTACTCGTGCTGCATTATTAATCTGCAACTCGCCTTTCGGAAATAAAAAAACCTCTTTCGAAAGACACTTTACATGCAAGGTGTGACTGCTCATGCAACTGCTTTCTGATATTTCTCAAGTTGACAGCCTTTTCGAAATATATTGCATTGCCACGTGTGAGAGGCTCTTAACTGAGAATTAAAGTCGTCTCTTTACTAACGAAAACCATTATCTATAAGTCACTCATCACACCCCTTCTGATATAGGGCGCAGAAGCGTGGACAATGACCACATCTAATTGTTTCAGCGATCTAACCCAGTTTAGGTCGGTGAAATATCTCAAGCGAAACTTACACTTGCTGCGTGTGCCAGAGACGATTATACCCTAACTCCACCAGTCAAGTGCGATATTTGCAACGGGTGAAGTCACCTCCGAGTCTGCTCAGGCCTAAGGATTAACTGGACCGCAACATATGTATGTGGCCCCCTGCTGCTCAAACAGAGCTGCCTCCACGGCACACCCAAGTCCGCCTGAGCAGCTCAACTAAAACACAATCGCACCACAACACAGTACAATAGACCACACCACAACCACAACAGACAACACAAAAGACATAACCGCACCACCACCCATACGCCGCACAGTGGCGTGTTTGACCAATTTAGCTGGACAAAATTCATTGTAAAATTTTGAGATAATTCAATATGGTTTAAGTCAACAGATGTCCGCTGACTTAAAAAATGCGATACAGTTTTATTTTTTCATTTTTCTTACGTGGGACAATTAGAATTATATACATATGAAACCATGATAAAAACCTAACAAGGTAAAACCATTGAGACGCAGTCTGTTGTTTGCCAGCAATATAATTTTAAAATACAAAACTCAAACTCACACACACATTCCCATTTTCAATCTCAAACAACAATTGTGAACAATTTCATTTTTAACCGACTTCACAAAAAGGAGAAAGGTTGTCAATTCGTCGAAATATTTTTTTTATGTATTTAATTCGATTTCTTCCGAATTTCGAACATTGCCCAACCATTCGATTATTCGATTCGATTTGATTCGATTTTTTTCGAATTTTCCAAAAATTTTTGTAATTGAAACTTCTTAATCGAGTTCGGAAATGTTTGCGTTAAATATTTAACACCAAGTCATAAAATCTGTATCGTTCGTTCAATTAAAACAAATGAGGTGTCAAATTTAAAGCTTGTCCTTTGGGTCTGCAACATAGTTTTAGTTCTATGAAAAGGGTTGCCACAGGTTAGAAAATCAAATTCAAATAATCGCTTCCGCAGATGTTTGCGTTAAATATTTAACACCAAGTCATAAAATCTGTATCTTTCGTTCGATTTTCAAAAAGGAGGTAGGTGTCAACTGAAAGGGCTTGCCCTGTAGAATATTTATATTTAAGAAAATCAAAATCAGATTATTTAATAAGTTAAATAAATTACCCCAATATGGATATCAGTCGAAATGATTTTGAATAAACTTTATTTTTCAATTACATTTAGTAGCGGTGCCACCTGTTTGCAAAGTCGAATTTAGTTAAAGAAGTGTTGTGCTTAAAATACTATGCAACAATTAAATATTTTTGAGGTGCTTGAAGAGAGTGGCCACCTGTCTCAAAAGTTAATCTCAAATTACACTGTGAGACAGCCGAAACCAGCACGGACTTTGTTAACATTTTCTGAAAGTCCCCGTCCAGTAATAAAACACTCGGATTTGCAAAAGTTAGCTCGTATTTTTATTTCATGACCTACTAAAGTTTTCATGTCTCGGCCTAAGTAGTTTTCAAAAAAGTCGAAAAATAGTTAAAATAAATGTCTGAGCGAAATTAAAGGTTAAGACATATATAATAAAATTTCATGGAAAATATTTTCGTAGAACATTTTAACCCATTAGCTCCCGCCTAGAAGGGTCAATTTAGCCCTCACTTCAAGAAATCCCGCAAAAAGCAAATTTGGAAGGTCGGTAGAGGATTGATATATTCTAGAAAATTATTCTCCGGAAAATTTTACTAGGGGTCTTCTCAGACAAAAGCTTCATGCCACCAATGTAAAAGCCTCTAAACATATAAAATAAAAAATCAACAAAAAAAAGTTTTTTACAAAAAATTTTTTTAATTTGAGTTCAGAATAACAGATCCTTCTTGGCACAGATTTTTTGTCCCGATGCATCAGATCGAAAAACATGCATTTTTTTTACTTGTATCCCTAAGACAAATGGAGTGCCACACACAGTGATGGCAAATTTAGTCAGAAAGAAGAAAGAGTTGATTTTTTTTTGGATATAAAGATGAAAATAGAAAAATTCGATTTTATCCGAATTTTGGCAACACTAAGTTTGATTTCAAAAATTCGATTAAAATTCGAATATCGAAGCTTCGAATGTCGAATTTACCCATCCCTAGTATGTTACCGCATAACTTTGGACCACGTTAACCGATTTCTATAATTCTAAATTTTTAAAGGAAAGGTGTTACCTCACAGGTGGTCCATTTTAATTTGGTTTAAATCTGATCATCGGATCATGAAGAAATTAACGATAATCTTAAATTTTTATATGATATATAAACGTCAGAAAAAAATCATGGCCATCGAATTGAGAGAATAAATTTACCTTGTAATGTTTTTTTTTTAACTTAAGCAGAATATACACAAGTAGACTTGTCTGTACTACATGTCAAGTATGACGTACCGTCGCATCGTGGATAGGCGGGTGTGTATACCAAATTCCAGGTCTGCAGACATGTATAAAGGAAATTGAAATTTTTCAATTTGTTTGCTCGTTGTTGCGACAGGTATGAACGTTTATAGTACACAATGCAGATAGAACTTCCTATGTGTATAGAAAAGTACAAACCCAGCAAACATTTGGAGTAACAAATAAGTCAATTTTATTTCTTAAACTGATTCGCATTATATCTATTATATCTTTACAGAAGACTATATGGATAAATTATTAAAATAATAAATTTTAATAGTTAAAATTTTTTATTTATATCTTTATGTAACTACATATATCATATATCGTCACCTGAAATGCAATACGACGGAAAAAACATCGTTCCTGAAATGCAAAAAGTCGTAACTGATAAAAAATTCAAAATTCACTTTTGATTAATATGATGGATTTCATCGAATTACAACTCCTCACATCGTTTTATCAAAAAAAAATATTAGTCACGAATTTTTCTACTTTATTGAAGTTGCTTTTTACGACAAAGATACTAACACATACTTCCATATACATATGTATGACAGAAACTTTTGGAAACTTTCCTTTACGTTGTGTGCGCGGTGGGCGGAGAGTGGCGGGAGAGGCACGGTCATGAGCCGCTGTTTACAGAAATGCAACTCCTTCCCGGCTGCCTTACAAAAATGGGGAAAAATCTAAATTGTCGCTTGTTTTGAGTAGATGAAGGCACTGACTTGAGCCTTTCCCATGGTATATACCATTTCTAGTGCATAAAGGTAAAGGCGTCAGGCTCCGGTGGCTTTTTTTTAAGTACCTTTTGCGTAGGCGGTCTTCGGCCGCGCTTAGGGATTAAACCCTTACTAAGTAGAATTCTCCTTTCTGTGTTGCCGGAGGAGAGGGACGGTGGCCGTAAAGAAAAGCCATCCGAAACTTTTGCAAATTATTTATTGAAAAAAAACGGTATTAGTATATTCATCAAAAAACCTACAAATTTGACTCAATAACGAGCCGCATGTGAGGGCAATAGAGTCCAGTATGAATCATTTGTCCTATAAATACTTGCTGGGAAGACGTAGATCCGTATGTCGTTATGTTCGTTCACTTCAACGATTACAACGAAATGAAGTTTGAACAACGTGTCGCATAGGTGTATACTGAACTGACAAGCGACCAAGTATGCATACAAG